ACCTGTGGCCATGGAAGTGATTGGAACACCTGATTCCAATAATTTGGATGGGTGAGCAAATACTTTTGGCAATATAGTGTATTACAAAGGCAAATAAATAAAGTAGCTAATTAAAAGTTATATACATTTATGTCTCACTGTATAATTTAATTTCTACTTATATTTATTTTTTTATTGTATTTTTGTTGGCAGTTAATTGTATGCTTATATATTTATTGAGCATTTATTTATTTCTGTATTTATTTTTAAATATGGCAGAGTTGGTCCTCCATAATGGACAATTTACATTTAAAATAAGAAAAAAACAATTGCTTTGTCTTATTTCAAGTGTATATTATCTAATTATCTTATTTTAGGAGTAAAAATACTCATTCCATTGGCAGATCAAGGAAAGTAGGGAAATTTGGAAGGCAGCTACTGTATTTTAAATTGTTAATCTCTCTGAGATTTTATAGTTCTGATTTAAATTTTATGTCTTTTATTCTTTTATCTTTGTTTTTTATTTATATCCTCTGACTCTGTGTAATGGTTTTATGCTGTTTCATTGCACAGCATTGAGGTCTTTTGAGAATTTTTTAACAGTTCTTTATAAATAAAGCTGGATTGAATAAATCAGACGTCCTTCCTACCAGAGGGCACGCGCTCCAGCTTCCCCAGTCTGACAGTACGCAGTCCTCGGGGCAGGGCAGGCGGCTGTTCCGGGCCCCTAAAGGCATTTCCTCTGGGTCACACAGGTAGTCCTCCACCTGCTCAGATGGTCCATCTATTGTGTTGAGCATACACCTGCTCACAGAGAGATTAAAGCAGAACAGGCTAGAAGGTTCTGCTACATATCTGCCAGTTCTGTTTAACAGTGCTCATCTCCATGTGCAAGAAGCAGCCAGCATAATTAATCAGGAATGGAATGATTCTTTGCTCTGCTAACACAATAACAATTAATCTATCATTCATTAGAGTGCTGTAGGAACAAACGCATCTAATCAGCGCAGCTTAACTAAGAACATCCATATCGTCCACATGTGGATCTCTCACCTGATTTTTCGGGTCTGCACGCCTTCGCCACAGTTGCTCTTCAGGTCCACGCTGCTGACCTTCCACACGCTCCACGGTTCTGCCACCCAGACATACTGTCCACAGTCGCTGACGCAGGGCACCACCTCATACACCTGAAACCCACACAGACTCCACCGTTAGCAGGCTGAACTTCTCATTTGAAAGCCTCTTAACACACGCCCAGGAACATCTGAGATCTGCTGTCAAAAATGACGTCAGCATCATCCATCAAATACAGATTTCAACACCAACAACAGCAACGATGAGGTTCTGCCGTATTTCATATACCTTTGGTTTACAATACTCTATTTGAATTGAATTTAATTGAATTTGTTTGGCAATGTGCTGATGGACACATGGAAAATTACTCTAATTACGAAATAATAGGGGTGCTGGCTGCGCAGTGGTAGCCTCGTGAGACCATCCTGATCTCGTGGGCTTTCAAGGTTTCACTCGCTAATCACTCTTCACTCTCCGTTGAA